TAAAACATTGCTGTATGTGTCAAAGTACTCATAGCACCATAGCACCAGACTATGTAATCATGTTGTATGCACCTACTGAAAGAACACACTGTGTCTTGTTTAACGATGAAACACATACTCAAATGCTGTAATACATACACACATTCACAGATTGCACTCTAAAGGTTCACCTTGCATAAGACTGAGAGCACTGAGGACTGTATAGAAAGTCCCCAAAATACACATGTTTTTTAAAAATAGAGTGAAAGCGAAACTAGACCTAAGGGTGGAAAACTTGGGAAATTCCAGGCTGCATTATACCATTAAAAATGGGCCCAATCAGAATTGGACACAAAGAAAGGTTTTCCACCAATAGAATTGGACTTAAGAGGGAAAGATTAGCAAAAAGAGGTGGAGAATCATTTGAATCTCCACCAGCATATAAGCCGGGGTTCTGAGAGCAGGTTTTCAGTCACACTCCGGAGACTGACTCGCTAAGTTGTATGTGTTAAAGCCTGTTGACACATTAAACTTGATTGCATCGGACTTTGCCTGTTTCCAGTGTTTCTTTAAGTGTTTGCCCGCTGAGCCTAAGGTACCAAATCGACATCTGAGAACAACTGACAAGAGACAAGAGGTTCAAGGTCAGGAGCCTACAGGCCCACTTCCAGGCACCGATTTTTGACACTTCACTCTCTCTCTGTCTGTCTCTCTGTCTGTCTTATTGTGTCATGCGGATTACTGTTAATTTATTATGCTGATCTGTTCGGTACGACATCTATTGCACGTCTGTCCGTCCTGGAAGAGGGATCCCTCCTCAGTTGCTCTTCCTGAGGTTTCTACTGTTTTTTTCCCCGGTAAAGGGGTTTTTTTGGGGAGTTTTTCCTTATCCGCTGCGAGGGTCATAAGGACAGAGGGATGTTGTATGCTGTAAAGCCCTGTGAGGCAAATTGTGATTTGTGATATTGGGCTTTTTAAATAAAATTGATTGATTGATTGACTTATAAACAGCTCATAATGCATCTTTGCAGCTACTGGATCTAAAGTGGGAACAATGTCTTGTTGACATTCATAAACTCTTTATCATGCACTCACTGAAGTTAATAATTCTATTTATTTCAAATTTTATTTTCAAATTTTATTTAACAGGGACTATGTGTTATAAACATTAATCTCGAATCACAAGAAGAGATGCATAACACCAGACTTAGCTGACAGCTAGTTTCCATCTGCGGTCCCCACATAAAATAACAAATAACAAAAAACAACAACAAATAAACAAACAAACAAAATAAGTTAACAGACAGTCAATGTTAACTGCTGTCCCCTCACAGTACAACATTAGCACGGCCACACATAGTCACAATCTAGTCTATTAATTATGCACCTATTGCAACATCCAGATATCAATCATTATTTCAACATTAAAGAATTCTGATGCTTTCTTTTCACTCTTGTATGTTATTATTTTCTTTAGCAAAGGATCATGGGAATCTCATTTCCTCAAAATGGCATACTAAGAAAAACATGAGTTATTTGAACTTAAAAAATTTGAGTAGATTGATTCAGAGTTAGCTGCTTTATTCACTCGTGATGAGAATTCAGCCTACCAGTGGTGGTGAAAACACAACATAAGGACATGTTTCCTTTTCATATTGATTTTTAATTCAACCACTGTTGTCAAAAACAGGAAAAAAGCATTGGAAACCCTAATAGCTGAGTTCTAAAAAATGACAGATCTGAGTTAATTTGGCTTTTTCGGGAATACAGTGTTCCACACAGCTCCCTGTAACCCATCAGTTTTCTGAAAGTGAGTGACAAAAGTCTCAACATCGGCCAGGCCAAAGGTGGCCAGGTCAGTGATGTCTTCAGGCCAGTTGCTTAGGTCAAACATGGCAGCAGCGGCCTTCAGGGTTGCCAAACTGTGTGGTGAGGTTGTCACAGAAGCCATTGATTAGTTTATCTTTCACTTTTTGGAAGTCATCATCATCCACTTGTTTCCTGTTGAGTTTTACACCAGAGAAGGTGTTTCCGGGAAAAGGTCCCACTTCATCCAGGAACTGCTTCAGATGCTGACCTGGGACTGTCTGAAATACAAAAGAAAAAACTGTCACGGTTGCTAAACATATACCATAGCATAATAATTCCTCTCTAGAGAGTTTATTTTGTTTACCTGCATGGCTACAAGACACCATCTGTAATGTCAGCCCATCCCTCTGAAAGAGAAGGCTCAGAATTAAACCCATAAATATATTTAATCTAACTTCCCTTGTTTTTAATCCACAGCCTAGTACTGAATTACTCTCACAATGGTTTCACAAGAGTGACAATAAAACACTTACACACTGGGCCTGATACAAACTTCAATTACCAAAATGTATTAAATGCTCCTTTAACCTTACTGACGGCGCAGAATGAAGTCAGGCTATGGCGGTAGCAAATCAGCAGTTAGCATGAACATGACGCAGCCTATATCCATTAGCCTGCTCAACATAACACACAGCTCATTGATGCTCGTAACACATTCACTCTGCTCATCCTGCTTCACACAATTTACTGTCACTCTTGTATCTCAACCATATGCATCTTCACACACATTTGACTCACTTTAACTCACACAAAACGTCATCAGCGACACACTTAGCTACCGAAGCTATTTCTAGCGGCACTCTCCACGAGCCGCGACACACACACTCTCTTAATCACGGTCAAAGTCAATGTCTGTGAGTGTCACAGTTACATACTAAGGTTCTGCTAAAACATGACTGGCTGCTAGTTCAAGCATGACCTTCATCTCTGTAGCTTAGGGTGACCATATTTTGATTTCCAAAAAAGAGAACACTCGCCCCGGCCACGAGATAGCCTACTTAAATGATACTCGCAGTTTACTCAAAGATGCCTTATAATTTTGTATGGATAGAAAATTCAGTTATATTACAAAATAATATCTCTCAAAGACAGAAATTTAGATAGGCTTCTCAGAGGTTACTCAACTTGCTTTTTACAAGTTTCAATTGTACAAAAATAAATATAAATGTAAAATAAATGTAAAATATCTGGAATGAAATAATGATAGAAATAATGTCTCTTCTGTATTAGAAAAATCAACTTGTAAAATAATAGCTATCTTTTCAAGTCTTACTGGACAAATAAATAAATAAATAAATAATATGAAATAATGTTCTAAATAATACCTCTTCTGTATTAGAAAATCCAACTTTGAGCTTCCCGGCACCTTTATTAGACACAGAATCATATGTGCCAGCTTTGCACATGGTGCACTCAGCCTCCCATATACCCCGACCAGGTCAGGACGGTAAGTTGGGAATTTTTTCTGCAGTTCATCTGTGAAGCTGCACTTGCGCTTTGGCATCTTGGAAGCTTAGAATAATGCTGCGCCGCCAGTGTCTGCTGCTTCCTCGTTGTGAGTGTTGGAGATCCGCCCATAAGGCAGCCTCTCGGGGATTACGCACACACACACACACAAGGAAAACCGGACATTATCATCAATTTATAAACACCCCCCGGACGCCCCGGACAGGACGTGAAAAGTGGACATGTCCGGGCAAAAGAGGATGTTTGGTCAGCCTACTGTAGCTAAAGTTGCTAGCCTAATTATTACTGACTGAATGAACCGAGTACACCTCTTCTGATTAACTGTACCGTCATTATTATAAACATCAAAATTTAGAGCACATAGTCACATTTTATAACTTTGTAAGGCCATCATGTACATGATTAGCCGAGTTGCTAGTGTTAGCTATCGCAGAGAACTAGAACTAGCTAAAAATCAACAAGCTAGCCTATAGCCTACTTTAACAAACTAACAGGGGCAGAAACAGATGAAACATCGTCTTCAGAGTCCAAGTGTCGCATCTTACTCCATCTGGAGCGGTGACACTTCAACTAGCCGACTAGATGCGTTATGGGCTGTATCGACACAGAAATTATTGCAGGCAACAGTGGAGAGAGGGAGAGGGTGGACCCAAGAAGGGGTTCCGTGTGTGTGTATGTATGTGTGTGTGTGTGGAGCCAGATCAGGTCCAGTAAAAGCCACTGTAGTTTTGCTGTTCATAAGTTTATATTGAAATTATTCAAGTGACAAAAGCGACGTTCAGATACCCATACATAATGACGTTGTAAATAACACCCATTTCGATATTGCTTTGACTTTTTTTTGTTTTTTTGCTGTCCCAGAATTGTCCCAGACACATCATCTTTGTGTCCCAGTAGCAATTTTTATAGTCCCCGGGACGTCGGGACACCGTTAGTTTCGAGCCCTGAGAGCATATTAATAATTTATTAACCTTTATACGACACTGTTCCCACTTTAGATCCAGTAGCTGCAAAGGATCATTATTAACTATTAATAACACCTTATTAATTTAATCTGATAGGGTCTTATAGTGTCTTATAAACCAGTAATAAATGTGGTTATTATTCTATAACTAACCCTTATAAATCATAATTAATGTAAATAGACATCTTATTAATATTTAGGATAGCTTTATAAACTGTTATCAAGTTTCTATTAAGTGCTTATAATGCTCCTATATGCAATAATAANAATGTAAATAGACATCTTATTAATATTTAGGATAGCTTTATAAACTGTTATCAAGTTTCTATTAAGTGCTTATAATGCTCCTATATGCAATAATAACTATAATAATAATTATGCTATAATTAACACTTATATAGTCGTATTAATGGTAATAAACATCATATTCTGTCTTATAAGTGCCCATTAACTGTTAATTGGTGCTTATTAAGCATTAATTAATACTTATTAAAGTACCTTAATATAAAGTGTTACCGTCAACCCTTATATAACCTTACTCCCTTCCATGCAAACCCTCTTCTACCCAAGGTCCTAAGAGATGGCATCACCCAAGTATGGCTCACAAAGGGCATCAGGATATTTGGGGACTTATGCAAAGATGGGGTCTTAGAGTCATTTGAAGATCTTACGGCTAAATACAGCCTTGAAAAGAGACAATTCTTCAACTTCCTGCAACTTAGGCATCGTATTCAAGCAGAACAGGGAGGTAGATTTCTACCCATCATAAAACAACCCTTAGATAACATATTGAGTAGCAAAAAAGAAATCAAGGGATTTATATATCACATGTATACTGGCATTAACAGTTGGTTAGAAAAAGAGGGGCTTAAGGTTAGGGAAAAATGGGAGGCCAACTTATTACACAACTTTGGTGATGCTGATTGGACTGAATTATGTGAAAAGGCCCAGTGCTTTTCCTGTAATTGTAGACACATATTAACCCAATACAATCTGATACATAGAATCTATCTCACCCCGGAAAGGCTACATAATATAAATCAGACAATCTCTCAATACTGTTCAAAGTGTAAATCTGAAGTTGGCTCTCTCATTCACATGTTCTGGTCTGGCTGCTCTGATGCTATCACCAGTAACCCTGTCTTTGTTAGATACTGGGGGAAGGGAAGTGACACTAGCATTAGCTATCAAAAGTTGGCAAAAAAACATAGCACTAACTAACTTGACATACAGTAAGTGAGGTTTCATGATGCTTCGATGTAACGTTAGAGCATACACATAACATTTCTGTCAAATTAGCATTAGCTACTAGTGAGGCTATGACGGTTGGTTTATGACCACTATAACGTTAGTGACAAGACACAACACAAATTGTGCTTGTTTGGACAAGAAATACATAAGCTAATTCTCTTACTGTACATACCCTCAAAGTCGCAGATGTAGGAGGAAGCATATAGTTTAAAACCCTTGTCCATTTTGGTGGTAGGAGTTTTAGATGTCACCCTGCATATGCGATGGACATCAGTTATGCTGATCTTTGGTAGCTCCTGGAGGCATCTTGTGTAAAAAAGCACCATAACATAGGAGCAAACTACAAAAACATATATATAATATAACAGCCGAAGTTGCAGGGGTAAAGTTAGTAGTCTGTAGCTGACTGCTTTGTTTTTGTTTTTATGGCAGAGTTGAGCGAGTCAGGAAAAGCAGAAGCGAGTTGACCCAGTTTCTGATTTGGTCATGTGACCTTCGGCATAAGGCCTATTGCTCGAAGAAGCCCGCGCCGCGGCGATGGATCATTGGGAACAGGTGGAGAATGTGCATGTGCGGCAGTGCCGATGGCGACCATGATTCTTGACCCTCGTGGATGGAAGAGAGGATCGATCTGGAGTTGGAGGGAGTTTGTGGGGCAGGTGGAATGGAGGAGCCACCTGGAAGTTTGTTTGTAGCCCGACTGTTGCAGGAATGATATGACTCGAGGATAACCGCCTTTGGGTGGATTTTGTCCGTATCAGAAGGATTGTTCTGCAGTTCTGGATCCGTGGTGAGTTGATTAATTGATACAATAAAAACTAGCATTTGTCTTACTTTTACATTGAGGTAAGCCTGTGGCTACACGTGAAACACACATCGGTGATGTGAGAAATGTGTCGAAGGGAAAAAGAATGCATCAGGTGTGCTTAAATGTGTGTTCGAAGCGTGGTTTATCTATCTATCTATCTATCTATCTATGTGTATTTATACACTGCGTTCTCGAGTGGTTACATATTTTTCTTGTATCTCTTTTTAGTGTTGCACATTAAAGATGGTCCCTATGCATTTTTCAAACCGCTGGCTACACATAGAGGACAGGGTTCCTACACATTTGGAATTTCAAAATTCCATACTTTTCCATACCCTAATTTCCAGACTTCTCTGCGTTTTTTGTTTGTTTTTTTTCTCAGAGAATATGCGACATCTGAGTAAATATATCAGTGTATCATATTTCACATCATATTTAATTATTCTTAATAGGCGATTGTAGCCAAGTACCATAATGGCATGCAAATAAAAACTCAGTTCAATGTCTGGGCTGAGGCAAAAAGGTTAAGACTCTGGGTGCAAGCGATGCGATGCAGTAACAAGACGTCTGTGTTTTTTCCTTTCATGTGGCTCAGAATCGCCTTCTCCCCCATGTTGGCGATGTCAAACGATTTCACACAAAGCTTGCATCTAGCTCTGTGTGTGAATTGGGAATCCTTGGCCAACCAGTATTTATATACGGTATTGTCAAGCCATCCATCCAAAAACTTGCATCTACCCATTGTGAACCACGTGAAACTCGTCTTCTTGTCGAAGGTGCAGTGTTGGAGTGAAACTTGATACCTGGGGGGCTGGAGGAGGGTCATGGGGCAGCGGACTGGACATACCACTTGTCAA